ATAACCGGTTACAGCTTGCAGGACCCAAGCATCTGACGTCAGATGCAACCACATATGGGAAAAATGTATGAGTCTGCCCCCCACAACCTGAAGGGAAGAAAGGGAAGAGTAGACATTTACCATTAGGTCGTTGTCCAGAAGGAGCTCCTCGGATACTCCTAGCAACCCAGGGTCTGCCCTTTGCTTCTGAAAGCCAGTTCGTCCCAAATAGAAACCTCGGTTCTGCCTATATGAACCTCTCTGAATATGGCCGGGCAGACGGCTCCTACCTCTTCCGGCCCCGGCAAAAATCTTTTGGGGAAAGCTCTTGCGCATATTATTCTGAGCTTTATCTAAAGCCATGAAGGTGTGTACAAATGACCCTAACTCTTTCACAAAAGAGTCACCAAATAATAGCCCTTTAGCCTTGGCTTTGGCTCGATTTTAAGCAAAAAGGACTTGCGGCGCTCTTTAGCCAGCGCCGAATTCACGTTTTCCCACTAGGCAAATAATCCTAATCCTATCCAATCCCTATCCAACACTGAACGGCGAAATTCCACGAACTGACCGTTCATATGAAATTCCAATATATACTTGTTAAGTGAACAAACGGCAAAAAGAAACTAATGGGAAAAGAGACGAACTGTGCGCACGAATGCACAGTTCATCCAAAAACCCACGAACTGTAAAAGTACACGAACGTGGCTTGCATAAAACAGTGTATATAAACTAACGAATGGCAAGACTGATGAATGGCAAAACTAACGAACGGCAGTAATGCCCAAACAAGTGAGCAGATAAAAGCCGTTAAAAACTAAAGGAAAAAGGGCACAAAAATGTTGCAAGACAGAAAAAATTAAGGATAGTGAAATTCTCCTCCCGGTGCCCCACAAAAGAATTATAAGGGACCGGGAGGGAGAGCCATTATGGAGAATTAATTACAGATGGAAGTACTAATAGGGACTAAAAGGCAGAACAAATACAAGTACCAATAGCATTGTTAATCTATAAATGCATAAATATTACAAATGGACAATTTATAAGTAAAGTAAAATTAAGAAACAAAATGATCAAAAAATGAAATTAAAATGAATGAAATCAAAATTAAAGTAAATTAAAATTAAAGTAAATTGAATTATAGATACAAATATGTAAGAAAAATCCCACAGTTAAGAACTATGGGAATCAGTGTATTTAACTGATGGAGCAGCAAAGAAAGAGGAAATAGTTCAGGGAATACCACCTATTATGCTAGAAAGTGGAACCTGATTGGCTGTTGGTTGCCATGGAAGATATATGTTACTGACTGTTTCCTGTGTTCATTTCATTGTTAAAGTTTTTCTTTGCTGCTGAAGGAAATAAAGAAAGAGTGCAGCATAATACTCTCCTACAGTAAATTGGATTAGAAATCAGTCTGTAAATAATTCGTATTCACATTACATTTTTATATAAAGCAGCTCATAAAATCACTTAAAATTACATGGCAATTGCTACACTGACTACCACACTAACTGTCCTTTGGCCAAATGAGGTGGTGAGAAGCTTCTGATGCAAGATGTGTCTAGCTGATGACTATATGTAAAGCATTAATATTGATATTATGCATTTATATATTTGATTCAGTTAATGCAACAAAAACAAAAGAATATGAGAACTCTGAGTGCCGAAGGTTGCCTATGCCTGGCTTAGAGAAACTCAATAGCGCTTGCCCTTCGGTAAATCCCCATACTGGTTAAGCCCCCTGAAGAGAGAGGAGGGGGAAGATTCTGTGTCTGGGTGGAGGACTAGCATCGGAGTTATCCGCCCTGCAGTTCCTCATTGGCTGGTGCAGACATGTGACCGCACTTCTCTCTCCCTTAAAACGAGCTCCAGTATGGCGAACAGGCTTAGTGGCCCAGACGAAAGCGCATTAGTACAGCCGAAATGCGCGTTGGGCAATACTTTGCTTTCTTTTAATCCACTTATTCGTTATGCACAGGCGTTTTCTTTGTGGAATTTACAGATATTAGAGGGGGGAACTTAGCAATGGCCAGGTTGTAATATGGCTATATCGAAGAAGTGATGCTGGACTGGACAGGGTACAGGGCCGGACTGGCCCACCGGGATACCAGGAAATTTCCCGGTGGGCCGCGGCACATGGGGGCCGGCCGCGTTTCTGGCTGGAGCCGCCGGGCCGGGTGGCAGCTTCCCCGGTCCGGCGGCCCTGCTCCTCTCACTGCCAGGGGTGGGCTGGGCCGGGGGGCAGGGAGGCAATTGCCCCCCAGGCCGCCCTAAATTCTTGTAAGACCGGCCGCGGCGGGCCAGCCCTTTAAATACTGCAGCCGCCTGAGCGCTCTGTTAAGAGCCTCAGGCGGCTGCAGCTTCTCCCCTCCCCTGTAGCGTGGCAGGGTGCACTTCCTGTCAGTCCGGCCAGGAACAGGAAACTGAATCTCCTGTACCGCGTGGTACCCGGACTGACAGGAGGAAGAGGAGCTCAGCCACGCTACAGGGAAGGGGAGGTGACGAGAGAGGTAGGTGGCTCAGGTGGCTGCAGGCTTATAGGAAGCGCCGGCCCTGCTTGGGGGCCCAGGCCAGCTTGGGGCCCCAAGCAATTGCTTGGTTAGCTTGCCTGGTAGCGACGGGCCTCAGGATCGGCACGCTACGGGACATCACAATCCTATATCGGCACAGTGCTGCTAAAAGGTTGCCTACCCCTGATGTAGACGCTCTCATACAGCGACCCGAAAGTCTCTATGTAAGTTTGCTAAGTTAGGCTCTCCCTTATAGCGAACAAGTGGCTACATTACTTCCACTCAAATTAGGTGGCAATAGTATTATTGCAATCGTTAGCACTCTGTGGAACCCCTTGTAATCCACTTGGTTGCATACTAGCAGAGAGTGCAGAGACCCAGTGAGGGTGCAGCAGCTTGCTAGATGTTCTGGTCCCACTTTGGTATGCTGGTTACGTAGTCTCCACTTTGATTAGGAGACTCTAGAGTCGGAAGGTATCAATTCTGTAGATAGTTAGACGTTCAAATCTTTTTTTGTTACATTGTTACCTAGTCTCCATTCTAACTAAGATAAGCCTGCACTACTGTAGCAGTCTCTATGCACTTTGTCGCCCATTTAAAGGGACAATATAGTCACCAAAACAACTTTAGCTTAATGAAGCAGTTTTGGTGTATAGAACATGCCCCTGCACCCTCACTGCTCAATTCTCTGCCATTTAGGAGTAAAATCACTTAGTTTATGAACCCTAGTTACACCTTCCTGCATGTGACTTGCACAGCCTTCCTAAGCACTTCCTGTAAAGAGTCATCTAAAGTTATCCTTTCTTTATTACATGCTCTATTTAATTTAGATTTTCTTATCCCCTGCTATGTTAATAGCTTGCTAGACCCTGCAAGAGACTCCTGTATGTGATTAGATTTCAATTTACTGAGCAAGAGATAAAATTGTCAATCATAGCCAGGGGAGGTGTGGCAAGGGCTGCATAAACAAAAACAAAGTGATTTAACTCCTAAATGGCAGTGAATTGAGCATTAAAACCTGAGAGGCATGGTCTATACACTAAAACAGCTTCATTAAGCTAAAGATGTTTAGGTGACTATAGTGTTCCTTTAACCCCTTAAGGACACATGACTGAAATATTCCATCATGATTCCCTTTTACATAGAAACATAGAATGTGACGGCAGATAAGAACCATTCGGCCCATCTAGTCTGCCCAATATTACAAAATACTTTTAATTAGTCCCTGGCCTTATCTTAAGTCTAGGATAGCCTTATGCCTTTCCCACACATTTATTCCAGAAGTTGTGTCCTTAAGGGGTTAACTACATATAGGGAACATTGATTATACATTAGATCTCCTCCTATCTTTGTTCACTATACTGCCCTTTGCTTCTACATCTATCCCTCTCAGCACGCTTCTCCATGCCCATTCCAACCTCGCCTGTCCCCAATATCGGTTTTCTGTATTTTTTTTAATTGTCTATTTGCTTGTAATTAATAAAATTCTGTATTTATCATTTTCATCATATCTATACAAGGGATCTTTGTGTCTTTTGGGCCTTAGAGCCCTTAAAGGACCACTATAGTGCCAGGTAAACATACTCGTTTTCCTGGCACTATAGTGCCCTGAAGGTGCCCCCACCCTCAGGGACCCCCTCCCGCCCGGCTCTGGAAGGGGGAAAGGGGTAAAAACTTACCTTTTTCCAGCGCTGGGCGGAGAGCTCTCCTCCTTCTCTCCTCCTCCGTTCCTCCTCCTGGACTGAATGCGCACGCGCGGCAAGAGCTGCGCGCGCATTCAGCCGTCGCATAGGAAAGCATTTACAATGCTTTCCTATGGACGCTTGCGTGCTCACTGTGAAAATCACAGTGAGAAGCACGCAAGCGCCTCTAGTGCTGTCAATGAGACAGCCACTAGAGGATTAGGGGGAAGGCTTAACCCATTAATAAACATAGCAGTTTCTATGAAACTGCTATGTTTATAAAAAAATGGGTTAACCCTAGCTGGACCTGGCACCCAGACCACTTCATTAAGCTGAAGTGGTCTGGGTGCCTAGAGTGGTCCTTTAAAAGGTTCCCTTTACACACCATCAGTCCGCTTCAGGGGCTATTCTTTTGGTTCTGGGTTCAAATAGGGACAACGCTGACTTTGCTAAAGCAGACTGGGAACTTCCTATCTTCAATGATATTTCTAAAGTGGAAATACTACGGGTACCCAGGGACAAATGCCAAGTGTCAAACTATTGACAACCGCTTTAACTTCTAAACGCAGTTTTACATGCAACAATTTCTACATACCAAGTGCAAGTAAAGAAAACCAACTCAAAATAGATTCACTAATTAGTCCATATTGCTAAAATTCCCAATATGTCTAGAATTTCAATACATTTTTAGACGTTATAAAACAAATGCTGCAAGGAGTGTATTACAGTTTTAAAGCTAAAACTTTCCAAAATTTGGCATGCTGAGATTACAACTTTAATAATAGTAACAGAATCCAAAAGTATATACATATATAGATAGATATATAAATATGAGAGAAAGAGAGAGAGAGAGAGAGAGAGAGAGAGAGAGATATCTCTCTCTCTCTCTCTCTCTCTCTCCCTGGTGTCAAAAGATATCCTGGGTCCCCTTTTAAAAAAATGTAATATAAACATTGGAGGCTGGGAGCAGTGCTAGATCGCTTAGCTGCAGTATTTAAAAAAAAAATAAAAAATTAAGAGCGGGGGCGGTGCCAGACCGCCATGCTGCCCGGTCAAATGCGGGAGAGGCTCCGTTAAGGACAGACCTCTGAAAGCCCTGCACTGCATGACAGCATAGATCGTCATGTGGTTCTCAAGTGATTAAGGAAGGTAGGACACCACGTGGATAAATAGTGCTTACCTACAGGAGATATACTTACAGTATATTGTACTGTCCCCAAGGGTCTTTTCACAACCATTTTTTTATCTCTCTTCTCATTTTTGTTATTGTAATTTTCACCTGAAAGACAAAATGAGAAACGGCCTGGTCACCAACACATGGTAATTACAACATTATAATTAGTATCTCAAAGTAGATTATAGTTGTATTGTTTATCTCTTTTATGAAGCTTTTATACTTTCTTACATGCACATTAATCCCATTTGTATCTTGGTCTCAAATTACCTTGTATTGATCTGAAAAAAAAAAGTCCCGAACCATTTAAACGGAAATCTTTTTTAAAGCAGCTCTGTCACCACACATATCCAAACTGATCATTTCATAAAGAAGTCGTTATGAAATACTCACATTGACATTGTTGGAATTTCACTGAAAAGGAATACGGAGAGAAAGTAGAGACTAGTATTTTTCCTTCTGTTGACAAGCTTGACAAAAGGGTGGAGTTAACTTTTGCCAAGCTTGCTGACACCAGTGATGGCTGTAGGATAAAAAAAATAAAAATAAAAATACTTTCTATGGAGGGTCTTGTGGATCCTGCATATAACTCAGTGCTGTACTCTTGTGTATGCACCAGAGTACAGAGCTGACTTCAGCTTCTGGCACCTGACCATACAGAGCAGGGGTTCCCAACTCAGTGTCAGGATTATGTTGATCCAGCATGCAGAATAGTATCACACCCTCAATGAATCTCTATGAGGAAAGTTCAGTGTCTGCATGCAGAGGGAGGAGACACTGAATCACAGGATGCTGTGCACAGTGCTGCCCTGTGCTCTGCTGACAGCAGATCTGAGTGGATGGAGGCATATTATGCCTCCATCAACTCCGAAGTACCTCTGGTTCACTCTGAGTGACTGCAACTAGAGGTGTTCCTAGCTTTCAATGTAAACACTGTATTTTGTCAGAAAATACAGTGTTTACATGAGAAAGGCTGCAGGGAGCTATAGTTCTCACCTGAACAACCTCACTAAGCCAAAGTTGTTCAGGTGACTATAGTGTTCCTTTACAGAGCTAAAACCCGAAACATTGGGAACACACTGCCGACCGGTAGCCCCAGACCCCCTCTCATGGGAGACCAGCCCTCTAAGCATCACCTCTGTTCTCACCCGCTTCTCTTGTTGGGCAGTCATATGCAAGTAACAGCGGAAAGTCAGTTTAAAAAAAACAAACTACGGTTAACCAATGAGTCCAAGTCTCTATGTAGGCCTGTATGCAGCCCTGGGCCGAGAAATAAAATCCAACCCCAAGCTCCCAGGCAAATGCCTTGTTTGAGTCATTTTCGGGTCTGTCCACCTTAGTAATAAGTATTTGACCCCTTCGACTCAGTACTTGGTGGCAAAACCCTTGTTGGCAATCACAGAGGTCAGGCGTTTCTTGAACTTGGCCACCAGGTTTGTACACCTCAGGAGGGATTTTGTCCCACTCCTCTTTGCAGATCCTCTCCAAGTCATTAAGGTTTCAAGGCTGATGTTTGGCAACTCGAACCTTCAGCTCCCTCCACAGATTTTCTATGGTATTAAGGTCTAGAGGCTGGCTAAGCCACTCCAGGACCTTAATGTGCTTCTTCTTGAGCTACTCCTTTGTTGCCTTGGCTGTGAGTTTTGGGTCATTGCCATGCTGTACAACCCATCCACGACCCATTTTCAATGCCCTGGCTGAGGGAAGGAGGTTCTCACCCAAGATTTGACGGTGCAGTTGTCCTCAACAGAAAAACACCCCCAAAGCATAATGTTTCCACCAACATGTTTGACGTGGGGATGGTGTTTCTTGGGGTCATGGGCAGTATTCCTCCTCTTCCAAACACTGAGTTGAGGCCACAGAGCGCAATTTTGGTCTCATCTGACCACAACATCATGCATGGTGCACCAGACCGAGGCAGACTGTTATTTTGTGTTTCTTCCATTTGCGAATAATCGCACCAACTGTTAACCAAGCTGCTTGGCGATGGTCTTGTCATTCCAGCCTTGTGTAGGTCTACAATCTTGTCCCTGACATCCTTGGACAGCTCTTTGGTCTTGGCCATGGTGGAGAGTTTGGAATCTGATTGATTGCTTCTGTGGACAGGTGTCTTTTATACAGGTTATGAGCTGAAATTAGGAGCAGTCCCTTTTAGAGAGTGCTCCTAATTTCAGCTCGTTACCTGTATAAAAGACACCTGGGAGCCAGAAATCTTGCTGATTAATAGAGGATCAAATACTTATTTCACTTATTGACAAAATCAATTTATAACTTTGACATGAGTTTTTCTGCATTTTTTTGTTATTTTGTCTCTCACTGTTAAAATACATCTACCATTAAAACTATAGACTGATCATTTCTTTGTCAGGGGACAAACACTTTTTTTCCTCACTGTATGTATTTCAGCTGTGAGGCTGAGTATATAAGCTTCCCAGTTCTTTTTCAATGCTGCAACTTCTTTCTAAGAAAAGCCCTCTAATCGTACACTTATAGGCCTCCCAGACCATCCAGGCAGGGGTTTTCGGAGTCACGTTGTCATTAAAATAGTAAGTCAAAGTGGAAGTTGCATCTTGCAAGAGCCTCAAAATAGTCGTCGTAGGTCTATAAAGAGAATAACTCGTCAGCTGAGCATTAGCAGTCCATATTATTGTGCCTAGGTCAACCTTATGAACTCTGGAAAGGTGATAAGAGGGAATAAAACAAACCAAAAAAAAAAAAAGCAGCCAGGCAAAATAACAAGTCTCTGTGCATAAGTGAGCATGAAATTCCTCCGTCTCAGGTGGCCTCACAGCTGCAAGTTGTTGTGCTGTCCTGTTATCAAGATCCTCCATGTGGAGGGCCAGGCCCCGCAAATATTGCACCTGGTGCTCAACCAGATCACTAGTGTGGGTCTGATCCGCTTGAAGCACGTGGCTTCTAGTCGGCACAACTGGTCACTCAGGCCCTTCAGGTCCTTGTGTTGTGCCTCGATATCACCCCGGATCGAGGTTTGGAGCTGTTAGCAGCTGCCAAATCAGTGCTGGTAGGTAGAGCTCGCAGTAGGGGCATCAGTGTCCTGTTCCTCTGGGGTAGGATATTGATCTTCTGGAGAAAAATGAGGTGAAATATAAAAAAAAAAAAAAAACAAACAAAAAAAAAAACCCTTTTTAGAATTAGCAGTCTTCTGAGAGCTCAAGGCTTGGTTCGATCTCCCCATATTTAGCAAAGGAAGTGGGGATTTGTTAAAATTCGGCGGAGCAGGTAAAACTCAAGCATCCATCTTCTCTCAGAGCCAAGCTCCACCCCCAACAATTTAATTTTTAATCTAAATGAAACAATTTAATCTACAGTCTCCCATCTCACAACCAACAGATTTAATAAATATATAAAAAAAAAAAAAAAACCACACATTAAATATATTCTGCATCTTGGCTTCTTTCAAAGGCAACTGCAATCCCCTTAATTTTTTCCACCCATCCCAATTCAGTGAAATGTCCCTACAGACTCTACTCAGAGATTCTACATTTTTGGAACTACAGAAGGTTATTCACTAAAGTATTAATTGTTGGGAATTCAAAGAGCTTTTAAAATGTTAGACCATAACTGCCAACGGAAAAAATCCCAAATTGCCAATGTTTGCAGTTTGATTTTTTTTGGCCATAAATTTTAAAGGGACACTATAGTCACTAAAACAACTACAGGTTAATGTGAATGTAGTTCTTCTGGTGTGTATAGTCTTTCCCTGCAGGCATTTTAATGTAAACAATGCCTTTTCAGAGAATAGGCAGTGTTTACATTGCTGCCTAGTAACAACTAGTGATGTCCTGAACGGTTCGCCACGTACGGCGAACATATGCGCTGTTCGGTCCGCCCCCTATGTCATCATTGAGTAAACTTTGACCCTGTACCTCACAGTCAGCAGACACATTCCAGCCAATCAGCAGCAGACCTTCCCTCCCAGACCCTCCCACATCCTGGGCAGCATCCGTTTTACATTCATTGTGAAGCTGCATTCTTAGTGAGCTGTCCAGGAGGGAGGGTCTGCTGCTGATTGGCTGGAATGTGTCTGCTGACTGTGAGGTACAGGGTCAAAGTTTACTCAATTATGACATGGGGGCGGACCGAACAGCGCATATGTTCGCCGTCTGCGGCGAACCGTTCGGGACATCACTAGTAACAACTCTATTGGCAGTCACTCAGCCACTAGAGGTGCTTTCTGGGTCAGTGCTGCACACTGTTCAGTACTGACGTTCAGCATCTCCATGCTCTGCATGGAAACGCTGAACATTCCTCAGAGATCCATTGATTTAATGCATCTCTATGAGGAGATGCAAATTGGCTCAGCCAGCATTTTGCTGTGCATGCGCAATAACGTTCCACTACTTTCCTATAGGAAGGCATTGGATTGGCTACGATTCAGTTCTGATTTCTCAGCCATGGAGGCAGAGCTGACTGACAGGCCAGTGCGGCATTGGAATAAAGGGGAGTAAAATCACCTTTTACATTGGTTACAGGGGGACCGGACACCTAAATAGTGTTATTACAGCTATAGTGACAGGAAAACAGGTTTGTATTCCAATCACTATAGTGTTCCATTTAATTCACTTATCCCTTTACAATTTAAACTTTAGACATAATTCTGTATGAATACTATCAGGAATGCATATACCCATGTATATATCTCTGCATATACATATTTAAAGGTACACCTGAAACACAAAGACCAACGGTAACACAATCAGAAGTATTCAC